TTAAGAGAATTGAACTCGTCCTATGGCTTTACATCATGGAATTGTCCAATACAGAGAAGTTTCTCTTCACCAGACTCACCTATTCTTGTGTCATCGGGAAAATAACAGCTTGAGGCATATTCTCCTCTGAGTCTTGACATTAACTCGTAGCTTAAAGCCTTTATGATTGAGATTTGAATATGAAACAGAGTCCTGTAATTTAATCACTAGACTAGCATGAATTCCTTGGTTGAATTCCATTATATTTAAAGATAAGGAAAGTAATTTAAACTATAAAGAATAAAAAAATGTTTTACTTCTTAAAACTACCCTGTATCAACAAAAAACTGATACCTGTTTAATAACAATATCATTTTTTTAGATAACAAATTCTAACAATGAAAAGATTGTTTTTCAAATTGGTGAACGATGTTTCTAAGCTTCAAAGTAGTATGGGACACCACATTAGCTCCGCAACTCTCTAAGCCCTAAAACAAAATGATAAGTATCTGTAATAAGTGCAATCTAAATGTTTTGTATTATTAAAAAGAGGTTGATATCCTATTAACCATGCATTTGCCCATCCACGTAGGCTATGGTCCTGGAGGCTATGCGTGGAATTAATCCAGTAAAGCAGGGGTAAACTGGTACAGTACAAGGGTAATTTGTACTGATAAAATGTATTTATTGACCAAGATCTGAAACCACGACATGGCTGCCATGGGCCCAAAATCTATGGCGCTACCGCCGCACTACCAGGGGGTTGATTTTCTAATATCGTGTTGTTCAAACTGAAATAAGGAGTGTTATAATGGCCATCAACAACTCCAATACAGTATGTCCAAGAAGAAAATTATAACGTCCAAGAATATTAGAGAATATCATTGTAGCCAAGTCCCATTGTATGTGCAAAAAAAGAATTACTTAAATACTTTTTTATGAAATGGCGACCTTATAAAGTAGGTATTTTAAGCCAAGTATGAATGGAGATGAGTGTTTAATGAGTGGCGCGATCTTGTAGTCTTGTTAGTGACTAATGCCGACATTCCTTTGACACAGCTGTTATTAATAGCCCATACAGCTAATGGCAACTAAAGAACCTACGGTTTATAGTGGAATCCAAACCACATTTTTTTGCCTTGATATATACGAATTTCACACCGAAGTCACACCCCCATAAACCATATACTTAAAATGTTGGATGAAGATGAAACCTTGCGCAAAACTATCCATTGTTTCATCAATTGCCCTTTAAGGTTGTAATTCCTTTCTGAAGGGAACTTTCCATATAACTAATGTTAAAAATACCTCAGCTGTACTTATTTGTATGTTATTCTTACAATTCATAACCTTATTAAAATCAGGTGTCATTATTTGTTTACTGTATTCTGTTTTGTTTATTTCAGCTTAACTTAACCAATCAATGAAAGAACTGATGATCCTAGTCAAAAATCTTTGGAATGAAGAGAAAAACTAACAACTATAGTTCGGCCGCTTAGAAAACGACCTGCGCGCTAATGCTAAACCAATGCTGGAGGAGGTCGCTTTCTAAGCGGCCGAACTATAATTTATACTTTTCTCACCAAAAGTTTGCCGATGTGGGTGGGGGTTGGGTGGGTCACAGAATGCGTGTCTAAAATTCCATTTTCTACCTTATTTTTTGTTGCTGACAAAGTTGATGGGTCATAACAGTAGCTATAGCTCATAATATTAATAAGTCATTCCAAAAGTTTGACTTGTTATAAAACATTTTGTATTCGACAGAAATTAGTCATTTAGATCAGCGCAATCTGTTAGTGGCTCACATCAACTATGATGAATTTAATTTAAAAACTGGTGACTTTTCACCCCACAGTGTAAATAAAACATGTAATTGTTATTTCTTACATTTATTTTGATTTTCTGTTTATATTTCGTTGTTATTTCGTCACCAGCATGGCAACCCATAAAAAAGTTCATATTAACTTTTTTTTATTTCTAATTAATGTTTTGTGCTTATGTTTGAGTCTTTAAAGGGATTCTGCTCATCTACAAGAAAGTATCTTTCTAACAGTATGTGTAGATTTTCCCTGCAATGCACACGAGCAGAGGAAAAAAAATTAAAGAAACATGCTTGCGTTTTAATAGACTCCAATGACTGAACTTGTAGTGTTTTTTTTATTTATTATTTATTCACGATGTCAGACTTGGTGCTTCCCAGTATGGTTTGTTGACTGGACCCACTATGTTTTAGATACACCAGATAATCATCATTAATAATAAAATTCAACTTACAAAAAATACATTTTTTAATCTCTCTTCGCATTGGGTTTTAACAAGGTGTAAAATAGATTTAAACTACTTAACTACTAACTACTTACTCGGCCTGAATGATGCAGTGTACAACTGTTGCCAACACTCTGAATACAATTAAAATTTCAATATTGTTCTTCATGATTAAATAAGCAGAAAAGATCAAACAGTATAGATACACTCCTAGAAGAAAAACAATGAGACACTCTTTCAACCTCTTTTTAGATAATACAGTTTGTTTGTGGCTCAAACGAATATTAAATCCTTTCAAGTTGGTTTTGATGTTTACAGGCACTGGAATAACAGCACAGTTTCCTTTCATTTTAGGTTGCAATTAACTAATTCTCGTAGTGTTAATCTTATCTATGTTATCAAGTGATTTACTAATTCATTTTTTACCTACCTTATGGCTTCATGCGATAGAAGAGTTTTGTACATTAATCAATGAAAGTCATTTTTGAGTCTAAAATCCATTTGATTCTCAAATTGAAATAATAAATTTTATTGTATAAACAAAATAGGTATTTGGAATTTATTTTTAACATGTTAAAATTAATTGTTATTATGGATTGTTGTTAAAATTTTAATTGTTGTTGTAAACTGTTTTATTGTTGTTTTTATCAGACCCTCTTCTGAGTACTCTGGGAAGAAATCTTGATTGAGGCTAATTCTAGTGGTTGATTGTTCAGTGAATACAATTTTATTGGCCCCTCAGAATTGACATCATATTTTTGGAAAGGTGAACAGAGACACACGTTTCTGGCGATCCTCTAGAATTTACGTTACAACAGGTTTTTATGGAGTATAAATTGGTTTTTCTCAAATTTGACCCTATAAAAACATATAGAATTAGAATTTACCATCCTATTTCCAAACTATTTTGTAGAGCTTAAAAAACAAATAATTCAGTATCTTTGAAGTGTTTTTGAATGGTTATTGGTTGCAAGAAAAATTCAAAAAATTGAAATTTTAAAATTCCCATGTTATTTTTATATGGAGGATAAATGTTGTAGTGTGTTTGCTTTTAGAAATATTTTGATACAACATGGCATATTAATTTATTTCATACAAAGCTATTAACATTTTACAAAAAATAACACTTGATTAACCTTCCTGTACCAGCAAAAAATAATAATAATAATAATAATAATAATGACATGTTTAAGAAAGTATTTAAGTGAAACTTTTGACTATTAATACAACGTGAAACCGTTGTGAAACCAATAAGGCAGATGGAAATTCGCTTAGTCTGCAGATTTGATGCGGGTGTATTTTATATTTTCGATTGGCTTGAAGTGTACCGGTACAGTAAGCCTGTTAGTGCAGGTGAACCTTCAGTATTATTTAGGAGGCTTACATGTACGCTATATGATCTTTAGAGTACGGTAAGTGAGCTGTCCCCGGATCAATGGATCATACCAATGATACACTAGTTGTTATTCTAATGTCAGTTGTTAGGCTAGGATTATAGTAGGACGCTGGTAGGAGGCCGGCGTCCGGGACGCTAGTGGGGCATTGAATCAAATGGGGACGATTAGACTAGGGATGCCAGCGTCGGATGCTAAAAAAGCCACCGGACGCTCGATTTTGTGCCTCCTTCGAAACGGGGTTTTATGGGGGTAACAAAGGGGTTTTGTCATATTTCTCTCTAGACAATTTTAATCAGCTTAAAACAAATAATTAAGTATATTTAAGTGTTTTTGTACGGTTAGGCCTATTAGTTACGGAGAAAATTCAAAGAAGTGTAAATTAAAAATTCCCATGTTGTTCTTATAGAAAATATTGGTAACTGTTGGAATATGCTTGTGTATGGATATATTTTGATCAAACTTGGCCAATTTGTTTTTATACTAAGCTATTAATATTTTACTAAAAACACACTTTATTAGCCTCCCTAAAGCAGCCTCCCTAAATCTAGGTAATCGTTAAACCTAATGTTATTTAAATAGATATAAACAAAAAGTGACAAAACATTGAAATAAAATGGCAGTCCGAGAGGCTAGCATCCCAACACAAATCATGTCATTTTCGGCTCGAAGTGGGACGCTAGCCTCTCGGACGCCAGCATCCCGGACGCCAGCGTTCTAGTTTATACTAGGATTATTCCTAGCTTTAGAGTCAGAATTACTTTCATTTTCATTTTCACTGCGTGTGGATGTGCCAGATTACCAAGTGCAACTATCTTGTTACAGATGTTTTTTTTCGATTTTTCATCAGGATATGAATGTCATTTTCGTGCTGGAATTTCCTTGTGATGTCATGCCCATTTATCATCTGTTATATTTTTTGTTGGAACACTATAAAAAAGTATTAGAAAACTGTCAAAAACTAACGAGGAACTAAGTATTTGTACGAGTCCTTCCTTTACTACCAACCAAGTTTTACAATGTTAAAAATGTTATTTTTTAAATCTATGTACCAAATTTGTACGTATATCCAATCCAAAACATTCTTGAATAACTGATTTCCGGTATATACCCAATACATATACTCCCGAGCTACTTACTAATTTAATCTATGGCCAATCGCCAAACGCTCAGAAAAGATTTCCACAATTTATTTAACTGTGAAGCTGCATAGTTTTAACAAACAGCCTTTGAAAGGCCTGCCTTTGTTTTCGGAACGCATTTTATTCTCCTTCTTTCAATATGAATACTACAATATGGAGAGAGACTAGATTTAAATTCCTAACCTCTAAAACTAAAACTAAAATTTTGCTGATAGTGGAGTTGGAGTAGTAGTGAATAGTGATAACAACAAATTAGTTAAGAAGTATAGTATAATGTCATTCAATGTGTACAAATTGTTTTTTAAATAGCTAAAGCTACAACAATTGTTTAACAGTAACATTACCGATACGGCGTCGGTGATACACAAAGTCAAAGTGTTTGTAGACCTACCTGCTACAAACCTCAAACCTGATGTATGCTAGACCTAGGCCTAAAAAGTTGTAAGTTGATTTTAATATATGGGCTATTGGATCTCTATACAATTATTTTTCAACCAACTATGTTATTTTAATAATTTAGGCCTACTCTTCAAACAATTTAAGATTTTAATATCAAGTGCAATGCTTGAACATTCTACTAACTTAATCTTAAGCTATCTCTTTTCCATTGCCCTTTGAGCCTCAGAAATTATTCTCCGGTTTGATTATGCATAGGGCTATTGATTTTTATATTGTTGTTTTCTCAACGTTTGACGTGAATCCCATCTTTAACAAGCAAGTCTTTGGTAGGCAAACACACAATTAGGATTTTAAAAAGTAAATTTAGCATAAAAATGCTAAATCCATTCATCCTATTACTTACCTGAGCTGCCACTGTTAATTTTAAATGGGCTTCAATCCACGATACGGTAAATTAATTGTCTCCTGTTTGTAAAAACAACACATCTGAGCAAGCTATTAAGTTACCCGTACGGTATTTAAAAATATAAATTTGTAGAGGCCCAGGGATTGGTGTGAACCTGGCAATAACTCAGCAATAAGTAGTGCGCCCGCCTGATAAAATCTATTTCTGGGCGTTTGGCGGAAAAATACGGCCGAGTGCCTATATAGGCCTTTGTGATATTTTGCAAATCTTTAATAATTTATTTTTCTCTAATTGTTTAGTTTGAGTGGTAGAACATTATGGCTATGGTAGATGTGTAATACTATAGGCTAGTAGCTTATACTGTAAATTTAAAGAAGCAAATTTTATCAAACTGTGTCCTCCCCCCATTGCAAACGCAAAGCTTGAGTAAAAATGCAATAAGAATTTTATATATGAGTCCGTTAGCACGATAACTCGAACAAAAATGATCTGATTTTGATTAAATTTGGTATGAACGTGTAAACCTTATTTATTCGAACGAGTTCGCGAACCAGCATGATCGGACCACGGGAACGGGGGTTTATGGGGTAAAAATGGGGTTTTCCCATTTTTGACGCTAAAAACATAAAATTTTGGAATATCTTCCCCAACCCGACATAAACTCACAAATCCAAAGACAACAAAAGATTGCAATCTAGGTGAATGCCGTTGGTTATATGAGCTTTCACTCCTACCTTTCATTTGTTATTGTTTATTCGTTACACTTCTTTTTAACGCTTTTAGAATAAGTTTAACTGCCAAAACGCTTTTGCCATTAATAAGTGCCTGCCACAAACCGCCTTAGAACTAGTTTTCATAATTCTATGTACTTAGAAAACAAAACTAAAGAATAAAGAGAAAAATCTGTAAACTTTGTAATTTTTTTGAATCTGTTGGTCCTCGCCGACAAGTTTTGTAAACTTGGCGAAGGCTTGTATATCATGCTTGTAATAATCTTAATAAATATATTTGAATTTGAACCATTTTGTAGAGCTTAAAAAAATAAATAATTTAGTATATTAGCATTGTTGTATGCGTAATGGTTACAGAGAAAATTCAAAAAAGTGTAAATTTAAAATTTCCATGTTATTCTTATAAGGAAAATGAAAACTGTTGTAGTTTACTTGTTTATGGATATATGGTGATAAAATTTGGCAAATTTATTTATTTCATACTATACTAAGTATTGATGTTCTTGGTCAAAAAACACTTTATACCAAACACTTTTTTATTTGAATTTTGAATTATATTTCTGAAAACAAATATAAATAAATATAGGCCTAAGTCTTATAAGTGTGTATGAGTGTTATAGTGTGTGTTGTCAAAATATGTCTGAATATATTTTAGTAAAAATATAATCAAACATGTGGAAATTTGCTTAGTCTGCAGGTTTGCTACGGCGGAGGTATTTTAGTTTAGTAGTGTACCAGTGACACTGTCTGCTAACCATGCACAGTTAAAAACACTTTTGTTCAGGAGTCTGTACTGTACCGATACAAGACTGACTTTGAAAAAGTGATGTAAATTACCGACACATCATTGCATAGGCTTAACAACTTAAATAACATTAACATATTTCACCATTGACTATTATGTATGGAAGTAGGCCTTGATAACTTATCCCATGATAAATATTAAATGATGTACCAGCTGTCTAACATAAACTCGGGGCCGTATTTCCCTAACGGCGGTTGCTAAGGGCCTCACTTGGAGCCTAAATATCTTTTTCTTGATAAATTGATTTGTCGATAATCTGTTTCACCGCAATTGCGGGAGAAGTTGATGAAATCTGCGTGACTGCTAGAGATCTTTACGATTTCGCCACTAACGTAACAGTCTTTCTCAATCGCAGAAGATGTCCAGCATTTTATCGCGTCCGCGGGAGTCGAAGATCATGTCCCTACAAACACGAAAGATCTTAACGATTTTGTCATGAACGAAGGGGACGAAGTTGATGTCTCTGCGCTCTCGCAAGATTTTACCTCAACAATTGTATAGCCTACTATGCATTTGTTCAATCAATACTTCAATATGGAATGTTAGTATGCGGAGGAGCTAGTAGTTAAATATTTTAAAGCCATTGTTTGTTATTCAAAAACTAATTATTAAAATAGCTTTTCAATTCAACAGCTGCGTTTCCACAAACTTATTAGGCTTATTCAAAAACACTGAAATTACTTTCGGTGTGTCAAGTTTATAAACATATTTATAAACACTTTACTTGTATATACTTAGGCTACTCCAATCGAGATCTGATAGTGACGCCAATCACTCATAACTATCCTACCAGAGAAGCTATAAATGTAGGTATGCAGGTAGTCCTAAACCAGAGTTTTCAAATCTGCAAATCTTACAAATTCTTTTTATGTTGCGAATTTTCTGCATAGGAATATACCATCAGAGATTAGAGATCTACTACAGGTATCTCTTTCAGTTTACAAACGAGCGGTAAGCAGTTGGCTGTCGGAGATTGGGCTTGATCAGTTTGAGACACTTATCAGTTCAGTATACAATACCTAATGAGATCAATACACAATTAAACCAAACAATATTTAGCGCACAGACATTACTATCTGCAACTCCATTCACTCGACCACTTGTTACTGTAGCGTCAGCTGATGCTGTCTTAAAAATATGTTATTTAAATATATTTATAAAGATGAAATCAGACAAATGGAAATTCGGTTAGTTTGCTGTGGCTGGGGTACATTTGTTTTGTGTTAATAAACTTACTTGGATCGATTGTTTATTCGGGAAAACTAACACAAGCTGTTTTGTTATTTTGCAGATGTTATCACTCTTAATCTTGGAACATGGTGGAAAAAGTGACAGAATTATAGACAGAAAGATGCAAGACAATGATTTCCGAAGTAGATTTGGATCACCCTTAACCAGATTCGAAGATATCAGCTTGCAAGGAAGTTTTCATTAAATATATGTTTGATGAATCAAAGCAACATATCTTTATGTGTGATAAGTGTGAAAATCTTGTTTCCGGAAGGATAATTTTAATAGACATACGTTGATTCACAATTTAGAACAACCTAGCCAGTGTACATTCTTCATGGAATCTTACAAAAAAAATTCTAGAAATTCACTTTTAAACTCATAGGGAATAACTGTTTCAGTCAACTAAATGTCCAAGAAGATTTAAGTTATGGATGAATGTAGCATAGAAGAAAACCCTTATCTTTGTGAAGTATGTCCAAGCTCTTTTAAAACTGAGAAATGCTTGGAAGCACATTTACTTACTCACTGTGAATATTCCCCAGATATAACACCAGAGAAGTCTTTGGAAAACTTTTCTGAGACAGCCCACTTGGAGAAAAATTTTCATTGTACGATTTGTTCTGAAAGCTTCCATTCCCTGAGATCGTTAAGGATACACATTACTCGCATACACTCGAAAAGTCAACCCCACCGATGTTTTACTTGCAAGGAGGTTTTTTTGTCCAGATTTGAATTAAAAACGCACGCTTGTGCTCATACAGATGAACTTTTCCTTTGTCATAAGTGCCCTAAAACATTCACAGTGCTTTCATACTTAAAGTTACACCTGTTAAAACATACTGAAGAAAGACCTTATCAATGCTCAATCTGTCATAAGAGCTTTACCCAGAAAAGTGGTTTAAAGGCACACACGCTGAAGCATAATGGTAAACTTGACCATCAGTGTGACATTTGCCTGAAGAAGTTTGCTTTGAAGGGGACATTATCGACTCATATGCTTTGTCATTACACAAAAGATAAACCCTATGAGTGTCCATCGTGTCAGAAAGCTTATACGAGCCAGTCAGGGTTGAAGAGACACATGTTGACTCACTCCGGACTGAGAGTTTACAAGTGCGGTCTGTGTCCAAAATCCTTCGCAACCCCAGATGTGTTGAAGCAACACTTAAAGACCCATTCAAATGAGCGTCCTTTCATGTGCGAGTACTGTGGAAAGTCATTTTCAAGGTCAAACTTTTTGAAACAACACATGATGATTCACACCGGCGAACGGCCTTTTCAATGTGATAGGTGTGAAAAATCTTTTGCTAGATTAGAAGTTCTTCAAAAACACATTTTGAGCCATACGGGTGAAAGACCCCACCAATGTACATTATGTGAAAAGTCATTTAAGCAAAAGGGTCATTTAGAAACACACATGTCGTTCCACTCAGGAAAAAGACGGTATAAATGTACAATTTGCCAAAAAAGCTTCATAATGAATAGTAATTTGCAGGCACACAAGGCAATCCACTTAAAGGCAAGATATCAATGTAAGGAGTGTGATCAGGTGTTTAAAAGACAAATAGAATTAAAGAGACATGCGCTCATTGCTCACACAAGCAAAGCATTAATTTCGATAAAATCTTGTGAAGTGATTCGTGATATACCGATTTCAGGTGAAGTTTTAACGTTGTCTGATGAAGTCATACAAGTCACGAATGACAAACTTATAGCTTTTTTTAGGAAAGGGCAATTTGGTGGAAGGTAAGGGTGTGTATGTCGGAAAAATCAAACACTGAAGATCTGTAACTTGTTTTTGCTTTCTTTATATATATTAGTGGCCTCTTTTAACTTTGCAGCTGCCCATCCACATAGGCTTGGTTGGGCCTGTGCCTGGAACTGTGTTGATAAAATTTAGTGTTGAGCACCAAGACGCAAACTTACAACATTGCTATCATGGTTTTGTAGTCCATCGCTGAGCCACTGACTCACCTGAATTTCTAGAATTTCAGAACGGCCTTTTATCCATCTACAGTTTCTCAGATCATAGTCTTTTATTTTAAGATAAACATTGTGAATTGTTTTATTGGTTTACAACAATGCTGTTGTTGTTATAGAATAGGTACTGTATATACAGTATATAATAGTTTTTTTTTATTTGATAGTATTTTAAAGTTTGTAGCTTGTTAAGCAAAATCTTTATGTTTTTATGGGTAACTATACCATTAATTGTTAAAAAATCCCGAACATCCAAAATTAAGTAGTTATCGTAATTCAGGTTCCTTTACATTTCAGTTCACATCTTAAGCTTTCTTTGATACTGGTTTTACTTGTCACATTCCAGCTACATGTAATAGAACGAGAAACATTTGTAAAAACATGTGCATGCTACATTGCTGAAGGACCTCTTGTATACAAAATTGTAATGTTATAATTTTATCTTTGATTAAGATGTAAAAAAACAAATGTTTTGGCTCATGAGCCATTAACTACTAATTTTAATTGAATGAATACTGTTATACATATTTAAAATAAAATTTATATTCACCAAATCTACTCAATACATTTACCTTTAATGTATAGTTTGTTTTGTACATGTGTATATAAATAATAATTTGATTGCCTATTCCTCTTATTAATAACCGTTACCTCATGTTGACACATACCGTAAGAACTCATAATGCTATAACAAGTTACAATCAAGTAATCTATACTGTATAGTAAAAATTATCTATTATATTATTAAAGGGATACAATCAAATTTTATGTAAACGGTTAAGGTCATTTACCAAATAAAAATATAGGCATATGGCACATCAAAATGAAGCTTAGAGTGTGTAGATTTGCCGAAAAGTATTGATATGGACAAATTTCCTAAGGGCTCTGCCCCACAGGCCGATTTCCAAAAGGCTACGCCTGGCATGCTTCCAATGTTTAAATGATTTAATTTAATTTAGTTAATGAAACAGCTAGTCAGTACAATGAACTGGCGTTTGTTTATTTACTGGAATAAGATGTTTGTGACGCTTTATGTAGATTGAGGAGGGTTATGTTTGGTTTCAAAATGAGGTTGTATATACGTTTTGTAAAGTATTGCTCAAAGTTTCATGTTTTAATTTATATAGTAAGCTACATGTGAAGAGGCTCTGACTTAAATTGAAGAATTATGGTAAAACATGTAATTCATGAAGCATCAATATGAAGCAATTGATGCTATTGCTACACTAAGGTATGTTGTCATATTCTTATGGATCTATTAACATCAAAAGTAGGGGTTTGAAAGTTAGTAGGTTTACGCTTCTAAATCAGTTTATGTTTTCAAACTAAATCGTAGAGTTGCTGTATTTTAAAACACACACCAGCACTACTTTAATAGCTCTCTAGGTCACATTTTCTTCCCGTTGCAAAGCACGGGTATAGCAGCTTGTATAAATATAATATATAAAAATGAGATGGTGTGTCTGTATGTCATCTACTCAATAACGCAAGAACCACTGAACCAATTGAAATAAAATTTTTTATGAAGGTATACCGGTTAACATGTAGGCCTATTTCTGTTAGGTATATTTCCCTTGGGCTGGCTACGCCCCATGGACTTCCAAAGTTTCAATGTTAACATTTTGTAAGTAGTCAAAAATATTAATTGAAGTCAGCTTGCTGTAAATACAGTTCAAGCAGCAGAGGTTAAGAGGTACAGGTTCTGCTCCCAAGATTCTAAAGTTTTATGATTATGAGAAAAGTTTGGTTAAAATATTTATGAAAATATACTTATTTTCATGGAAACAGAAGTATCATTACAATGTATAAATGTTTTTGAATAATTTTGATATGGTAGCTTTTTGTTTACAAATTTTAACTGATAAACAAATGTTTGGGTTAGGATTTTAATAGGTTTTAAAAACTAAGATATATGTACTGGTACAGTTTTAAAAACTTAACTGACTCGAGGTTTACACTTTTATTTGTGTTTTAATTCAATTTATAAACTAAATTTAATAATACCTAATTTTATTCTGTCCAGAGGTAGCTACTACTTATATTTTCTTCTATCTTCTACTTCACATTCGTTTTTTTTTACATTTACAGAAACCTGCTTAAGTAGTTGTGTTTTTTACAACACTGCTTTAATTTGACTACGGAGAATATCACAAAACTAAGCTGCGCCCAATTCACTTTTGTTTCTAAAATCCATTCTGTAACGTAACTATGTTTCTTTACTCAATGTTTTAAATGATGATGTAAATAAATGCATATACATACACGTTTTGAACTGCTATTATTGTGATATATACACACTGATCTGCAGGTAAAGATTGAAATTTTTAAAAAGCTCAGTTGTTATGGTAAAACAATGTGGAAAATCAATATTAACTTTTTTTTATTTACTACAGTGCCTTATATTGTGTGATTATTTTTCCTTATTTACTTTATATGTACGTTTATAAAAAAAATCTTTATGTAAGCTTATCATTTGAAAATTTAATCCTATGCGTATGTACATTATTTTCATAGATGCATCAGTGCCTCATATCATTTGTACTAGGTATAGCCTTATAAGTTTATATTTTTTAAACTAAGAGTTACAATTGAGTTATGGTCCTGAAACCAAAGAGGAATGTGTTACTATTCTATATAACAGATTTAGAGATCAAATTTGTCGCTTCAGTCTCCTCTCCGTTGCGAAGCACGGGTACAGCAGCAGCAGCAGGAGCAGAGCAGCTTCTTTTAATATATTCGGTGTTGCTAGCTTATAGTGGGTAACTTCTCTGACTTTACAGGACAAGTTCAATTCCTGGCACAGACCAATTTGGCTTAAAGTGTTTATTTCAATTCTTTCTACTGCTACTCTTGAAGCAAAAATGTTGCTGGCACAATATAAAAATCAATACCCCAACCCGCCAACCGCAGCAATCCTGCAGGTAAGAAAATGTCCATTTGCCTGATATTATTTTCAATTAAATCCATTTGTATAACATTACGTTTATCAAATACCTAGGTTTGCTGCTACAGGAAGGGTATAATAAAGTATGATTTTTGTAAAATATTAATAGCTTAGTATAAAATAAAAAAATTTTCCAAGTTTGATAAAAATATATCCATAAACGAGTGAAAATTTTAAAACGTACGTTTTCATGTACCTGGCCTTTTACTTCGTAGATATTGGATTTGTAGTTTATTATTATATGTTTTAATATTTTTGGGACGGAGGCAACATGTTACAAACATTTATTTGGTTTTAAATAGGTTCTAGGTATTTTTTTCGTATTTTTAAAGTCTCGAAATTCACGACCATGACGTGTCCCTAGGGTACATTTTCCAACTTTCACGCTGTTTTTAGACTAATTATTCATGCCGAAATATAAAGCCATATTTTTATGTCATCAATGGATATTAAATTTACATAAAAGGAGCATATTATAATTTTATTGTCATTGCAAACTGACTACCATGACAAAATAAGTCTGTCCCTCGATTTGGCGTCACGACCATTTGGAAAAAATTTTCAACTTTGGAGCACGACAGTGGCAAGCCTGGGGTCGATGGAGTCAGTTGGTTTTAGAGACTAGTTCGGGGTGTACGTCAGGATTGTAGTGCCGGTCGTTTCGAGTTGAAAGGAGGAATAACAAGATTAATAAAGGAAAGATTGTGTTTTTTGTAATTTTGGTGTGTCCATGACCGTACGTTGTCATTCGATGAAGTAGACATGGTGTTAATTTTTGTTTATTAGATATTTCAATTGCTAGATTAACCTAGAAGTCCACTTTGTATCCTCGAACATGACGTGCAGGGCTACCGCCAGAACAGAGCCAAATAACACGTAATTTCTCGACCAAAGTTTCACGACCATCGTGGGTTTTTTCACGACCAATCCAGCCTTATGGATTATAGTGTGTTTGGTCGTGACAATAACTTTAATATAATTGTAAATTGAACAGTTTAGTTCAATTGAAACACATATTTTTATTATAACTAACAGTATAATTGAAAGATTGTTTAGAAAGATTTAGATTATTCCAGACAATTCACGACCGTACCGCTTGTCCCTGACCATCACGTTTATGATTTCTATCATAAAAATTTCAAAAATTAAAATATCGTCATATTTCAATGTTTTATACACAAAAGAAGCACACCTCTATACAAACATAACGATTTTTCGGGTCTCAGGTAAGTTTTTTCGGAGTTATACAAACTTAAAAAGATTTTATTGGCTTATTTTCAATTTTTTGAGTTTTTTATTTTTTTTCTAGAAAGACCAAATATACCAAAAGCTCAGGGACCTTTTTATTGTATAATGGTCATAAAAGTAAATTAGTTTATAGCAAAACATAGTTATAAAAATAATATTAACCATTTTTAATATTCATTTAAACGTCCGTTATGGTCGTGACAGGATTTTCTGTTTTTCCACTAAAGATGCTCTTTAAAAAAAAAAACTACCAAAGATATTGCGTTACCATGGACATTTTATGAAACTTCAAATGTTAATAAAATAAAAAAATAATAAAAGTTTTGAAAAAAGGGGAAAAAAATTTGCAAAGTGCTTTTCCTGAAAACGTACATTTTTAAATTTTCACTCAAACAAGCAAACTATAACAGTTTACTTGTTCTCCTTAAGATTATTGTGGGAATTTTAAATTTTTGGAATTTTCTCTGTAAACAATAACCGTACGTTGATGTATTAAATTATTTGTTTATTAAGCTCTTTGAAATGGGCTACTAGAGATAAATTGGGTAATTTTATGTTTTTTTGGAAGTCAAAAATTAGTAAAACTTATTTTTTACCCCCTCCCCATAAAACCCTGTCTGTTGAAATTTTTAAAGCGATCCGCGCGAAATTTAGTACATTTATGGTAAGTTAACCAACTATGGAAAGGTCCGAAATGGTACAAATTTGACCACGGAGATAGCGTCTCGGACTTGGGTGCGGTAGGGGGTGACGGGTTCCATTTGAGGCACACCAAGGCAACACTAACTTGTGCACATCCAAACACATAATATGGGCTAGCACTGCATTCTCTCTTCTTCATCTAATTCCTCCACTAATAATGCTACTGGAAAAATGGCGTGAACAGCAAAAACCCAAAACGACCTCCGCTGATCAGGAAAGTTTGATTTTAGACATTTTGGAACAAACCATCTTTTGGTGGATTAGAAGCTTTGAAACCCATCTTTACAAGAACATAGGATGTAATTATTGAAAAACCCCAAATTATACCCTGCAGACTAAAGCAATGCTTGGGTGTTTTCCGATCAAATGTTAATAGTACAGTATATGGTAAAATAAATTATTTTGCCAAAATTTTTAAATATATAGGCCTATCTGCTAAATACAATATAGTTTATTTATTCTAAAATTTTATGTTGTGTCAAAATTGGGATACCCCAATTTTTAAGACATAAGCAAAAATGATCTGATCATATGTTGGTTCATGAACTTAATTGTTTACATTAAATAAATTTTCACCAAAATCGGATCATTTCCTCCCTAGTTATTGTGCTAACGGACA